GGCCTCTTGGGATCCTCTTGGGATCCGTCGTGTTTGTTTGCCTTGCAGTGATTTGCAAGTTCTACTTAAGTCAAAAGTGTCGGTCTCCGTTCTCTGCGGCTCGTTGAGCTGCGTGAAAAGCTTTTTGTGTGTCGCGGTCTTTTGTCCGTGTCTGAGGCTGCATCTGAGTCGGAGACTGAGTCTGGCTTGCCACATCTGTTGCAACTGCTGCATCTGCATGGTTCATCATCATTAAGCGCATTGCGTTGGATGTGAATGCCAATGCCCCCACACACATGTACAAGATTCACTTTCGCAGAGGGAGACCCTCATAAACATGGCCACAAACTAAATTGGGGCGTTTTGGGCCTGTGCCTGGGCCTGAGCCTGGGTTCCACCGGGTCTGCCTCATGCAACGTCTGCTCTGCCGTGTGTTGACAGCTGCAGCCTGCCTGGGCCAAAGTGAAGTGTTCTCTGCGGATCTCGATCTGCAGGCCGCAGGGCGGCATATTGACCCAGTTCACTCTCCCTTGGCTCCTTTCGAACGCAACGCAAACTCGTGCATAAAAAATACGAGTAAAATACAACTGCTTTGCTGCTGCTTTACTTTCGTTGACAGTTCTGTCCAGACGACGCTTTTGGCAAACCAGGCACGCACTTGTGCCCTCGATAAGGTTGATGTTGTCTTTGATTTATGCTGTCTTTGGTAGCTTATAAATCATTGCCCGCAGAGACTGACTGACGGACTGACTGACTGACTGACTGATGGACTGAAGAGTGTATCAGACGACCACATTCTTTGCAATAATTAGCGCAGTCGGTTCAGTTCAGGATTCAGTCCTCAGCTTAAGCGTTTTAATTGCCACTTTTACCTGCTGCGATTACGACAAAATATGACAGCTTCAGTCATTCCTTCAGTATTTATTCCCCGACACAATGAAATATCAGGCGCCCACATGAGGGCCATGTGGTTGAGGAAGCCCCAAATTGTGTCAGCTATTTCTCAGGCACATGAGTTTCCTGTTAACCACCGAAAGAGAAATGCACCGGGAGGAATTGAAGCTGGGAATGCGCTTTCTTCCAGAAGCATGTTTATTCCCAGAATAAAGGACACTTTTGATGCTTCCTCCTGCAGCTTTTCAATAAATGGAAAATATCTAAGGCATCAATAAATAGATTACATGGTAATAAAAATAGAAACTGGGTTTCCTTCCAACAGCATATCGATGCGGATTTAGGAACGGGTCCGCCCTCCTGGTAGGCGAGTATATCGATTCAAACACTAAATATTTCGACTTTTCAGCAGCCACGCCAGCAAACAATAGAGCTCCATATCTCCTCCTTCTCCCTAGTGGTGGCTTTTTGTAGTCGGTTTTCAGTTTTCAGTTTTCGGTGTTGATGTCGTGTTTTTCCACTGGCATGGCACGCGTTTTGAAAATTAATATTTGCCTTGTTGCGCTGTAGCTGTAGCTGCTGCCTTTTTGAGGTTTTCCACAGATAATCAGTGATCCAAAGCAGGGAGACACGAGAGGCAGAGGAAATGTATGCTAAGCATATGCAACAGCCAGAGGCAGAGACAGAGACAGAGGCAACGACCGCAAGCACAGTGCCGTTTATGAGCAGTTTTTGGCTTATAAATGTTTTAATTAGATCTGTTTGGTTTGATAAGCCGCGGAGAGACAGCTAACAAGTTGGTTAGTCTATTCGGGGCTTATGGTTTATGGTCGGGACTGCATTAAGTGGGTCATCGAGCTGGCCAAAGCACACGGGGAGGGAAAGAGTTCGTTGTGGGTTATCTGGTGCTGGGGAGTCAAAAACCTCAAAACCCCAAAACTGATTGCAACAGGAAAAGTATTTTATGGCCCAGCAGCAATCAATCTGACCAATTGTCTTTCAATAGATCGCCCTCAAGAACTGCACTAATTAGTATATTTTATTACACATTTTATGGCGATGCAAATCAAACGGGGCCCCCGAAATGCAACGCAACTGCCGGAGCACCATAAAACTTTCCGGCTGCCGTTCGACTCAGTATTCACTATTCAGTATTCCGTGTTCCATCGTATCTACAAAGTTCAAAGTTTAACTGATTCAAGTGCCAGCCACGGAGTGACGACTGTCTATCAGCGCTCTCTGGCCCCCAGTTGATGCCCCAGAACTCTGCCCCACAACCCTACCTTCTCTGAGACTGCTTGCTGCCCATAAATTTCACGCGCTTCAGTTGCGCATCCGGCCCTGTAGATGGATGGATGGATGGATGGATGGAACATATGGCACTTCTTGAGAGAACATTCCTACTCTTTCGGCATTCGTGTGGCAGGGGCAGCTGCGTGTGGGCCCCCCGAAATTCCAGTGTGTGTGTGTTTGTGTCTGTGTGTTGACAACATTGTTGGGATTCAGATTAAATGCCTTTGTCTTAAGCGCATTTTATCTAACCTACATTCATAAAATATGCTTCGCTGTTGGCTGTTTGCTATGTTGCATGTCGAAACATCATGCCAGAGATTACGAGGGAATTTCAGCGACCCCGAGATTAGGAAATCTCAGCCCGAAAGACGAGTACTCGTATGATGGACTTACATGCTTCTCCGGTTTCAAGACAAGTCCGTTCTGCTGCTGCTGCTGCTGTTCCATGATGGATGAGCCCTTGCCAAAGCGACTCTGGATGGCCGCCGATGCTGCTGCTGACAGCAACATAGGCGCTGTCCTGGCCGTGGGCGAGTGGTGGTTGGAGGGGGCCGATCCGGAGCTGGAGGCAGCTAGGGCCGCCAGATGCGGTGGCAGCTTATCGCCGGCCATCAGGCTGTCCAGATCACGTAGAAATTTGGAGGCCCAAATGTTGACATCCTCGACCTGGGCAGGTGGAGCAGCGGCAGCGCCAGAGGAGGTGGTGCTCGTGCAGTGTCCACCGTGCGGCGGCGGCGACAATGCCCTTAGTTTAGTTGTCACTGGTTTGGTGGATGCTGCGGATGCTCCTTTTCCTGTGGTGCTGCTGCTGTCAAAGCCGCTATCTGATTCCGTGGAACGAGACAATTCATCAAGCGGCATGCCGGTGGATGCCTCCAGTTGCTCGCGGAGCTGCTGCTGGAGGCGCTGGACCTTGCGCAGCTCGAAGACCTCATTGATTTCCCGCTGCAATTAGAATAGAAGTTGTTAGCCACAGTCACAATAAATTCTGAGCCTTGGCCGAGATTAGGTTTTGATTAGCACTCTAATTGCGTGCATATATCAAGGCAATGGTCTATTAATCGCGAGAGGCCCAAGGCGCCAGCCCCAGCATCAGCGCCAGTTCCTCTCCTAATGGGCCCAGACTATGATGTATGTTTGCTTAATTTGCCCCGCAAACAGTTGCAGGTTGGCAGAGAGCAGAGAGCAGAAGAGAGAAAAGAAAGCCTAGGACACGACCCAGCATTTCTCACACACAGCAGAGACACAGCAGAGACACAGCAGAGACATGGGCACAATCAAAGACAAATAAATTAGAACACGACCGCAAAGGCAAAGGAAGAGGCAGAGGCAGAGGCAGAGTAGAGTCGACCAGAAAGCCAGAAAGGTTTTTCCAGCTCCAGCAACAGAAAACTGCAGCCACGAACTGCAGCCAGACATAGACCCAAGCCAGACAACAGCAACACGACTTGCAGCAGCGGCAGCAACATGAGGCACAGTCTCTGTTGCTCTGTTCCAACAAATGCAAATAAATTGAAATGAAGCAATTTGTTAGCCAGATTAAAGCAAGCCAAAGCAAAGGGAGAGAACACAGGGCGCACAACACAGTCTCCAAAGAAGATCAGACAGATGGGCCCACAGGGCTAACAAAGTCAGCGAATTACTTAATTAAAAATCGTGGCCAAAGACCAGCAGAGCAGAACCAGAACTGGCCCAGACGACTGCGACTCTTGGCCAGGTCCAGACCCAGACCCAGACCCAGACCCAGACCTATACCCAGGCCCAGGCCGAGTGACATTAATAACGTGCAGTGCTCATTACTCAACAATTGTGTTTGCCTTTCTTTCCTTTATATGCTGCTGCTGCTGGTGTGGCTGTGGCTGTTGCTGCCGCGGGACATGCAACAGGGCGCAGGGCAGCAACAGGCAGCCCTTGGCAACCCTTGCCACAGACAAATGCGATCGAACATTAGCAGGCAATAAATTCTCGAAGGTAGCAGCCCCCATCTATTGCTTCTGGGGGCATGAAAGAAAGCGCCGCTCTGGCAGCTGCCTCCGCCTGTGGCTGCCACTGCTGCTGCCACTGCTGTGATTGTATCGCTGGCTGGGAATGTTTTGGCAGAGTTGTTGCCTCATTTGTCGTCCGGTGCGAGAAGGCTTCTAGCTAATTTGTGAAGCGGCATCAGGTCAAAGGTTGAACAAACACAGCCGGACAGCCAATCGAAATTGGAAACAAGAAGGAGACGGCTCGATAGAATAGATAGAGCGAAGCTATCAATACGCTCGCAGGTGGATGGAAATCATAGTAACCTTATGACACGAGTATCTCCAATAAACCTAAAAATCATGATGAACCCTGATCCATCATAGGGAAGAGACTGTTTTTATCTGTAGGTTATATGTTATATTCTCCGCAAGGGTATAAAGACGATGTACAATAGCAAAAATTGAGCCAATACTCGTGGACGAGTGGCAGAAATATAACTTGAAAAAAGTCATCCAGAGCTCGGGGACATCTCACGTGGGCTACAGATTTCCCAGTTCGAAAAAATTCCGTCAGTACAATGCAATTTCGTTTTATTAATTTCATGCTACGACGCGCTGGATAAACAATGGCCATTGCCATTGGCCAGTGCTTCACTCCCAGACGCATGTGTGGGACCAAGGGTCCGTCCACAGACGAGCAGGTCCATCCAGGTCCAGGTCCAGCAGGCGTATTCCCAAAACTCCAATCCGCTCCGCAGGCAGCCGTTCCTGCCACATCTTGGCTATAAAAAGCAAGACTGCTTGGCAGCAACTTTCAGTTTCAGTTTTCTAAGAGCCAAACGCGCAGCGGTCGCCCACCGCTTCAAAGGGAAGCCCGACAATCCGAGCCAAAGACAAAAGTAAAATTGGAACAGCAGCCTCGATCGGGCCCAAACCGAGGGACAGAGGTAAGGAGGATCGACTGGAGCAGCAGTGTCCAGAGGACACGGACACAGGCTGGGGCAGGAACGCAGACAGCAGACAGCATGAGACTCACGCTCGCCTGGCTCAGCGTCTGCCTGGCGATTTATTGCGGCGGCGGCCACAGCCACAGCCACAGCCACGGCCACGGCCACGGCAATGTGGTCCTATCTTTGCCACCATCGCTTATCGCCATGGCCACGGAGGCGGCGGCCTTGAGGCTGCAACAGCAGCACCAGCAACAGCAGCCGCGCTGGAAAAAGGATGCACGCGTCCTGTTTGACAGCGGCAACGATGCACTGCGCGATATGCTCCAGAGGCAGGCGGCTGCCTCGGCGGCTGGGAAGTTCAGTCTGCCCCACTACGACCACGACCACGACCACGACAACGCAGCGCAGCTGGATGGGGATGGGGATGCAGATGTGGAGCAGCAACCGCAAGCCGCGGATTTTAATCGAAAAGTTTTGCGCGAGGTAGATGATTTAGGGGCACAGACCAGGCTGCGGCAGCAATCAGCGGCGCAGGAAATTGCACCACTGCAACGGGGCATGCTGGGCCTTAACTATGCGTCCACGCCCCACCGATACTGGGCCAGTCGGTGCCAGGGTCGCCTGGGCCCCTCCGCCAAGTGTCCGCAGGAGTACTATCGCGCCATGATGGCCGCCAGGTAAGCGTCAGCCCATCCCAAGGATGTGGGTGGGTGGCAGTCGGGGCTATTAGGCCGGGATTCTGCTCAGGAGCTCGAGGGGTTCAAGGTTGCTCTGGAAGGAAAGTCGAAATTCGACAAGTCGAGGCGAGAAAGTTTCGCGCCTCGTTTCCGCTTCACATGTGAAACCAATTTATCAGCGACTCTGTCTCGGGGTTCCCTCTGAGGTTCACAGATTTAATGTTTAACCCTTTTAAAGGCGCCAGGTCTTGCCGAAAAAAAAAAACTGCCAGCAACAGAAACAGCAACAAATCGTCGACAATTTGGCTGTCGGCCAGAAACACGCAAAACCAATTAATGGGCGTGAAAAAATCAGTAGAGTACAACGATTGCAGTTTTGTTTCAAGTCTCTCAGCCAAAGACGACTCCTACTCCTCTCCCTGCCCCTCTGCCTGACTCCAGAGCGAGTCTGAAGACTCCTCCGAAGGAGCCTCGTATGTTGATTTATTTTATAAAATAACAACTGTCAGCAAATTCATTGCCCCGCAACGAATCGAAACGAAATCGAAACGAAAACTGCATTACGAGTTTCACTTTTCATTTCGGCCGAAGAGAGGAGCTCCCCCAGACAGGCAGGCCAGAGACCAGATCCCCCCCCCCCCCCACTAGAAGTGAGAAATGTTTCAACTTTTATTCAATATTCAATACTCTTGCAGAGGACATTATGATTTTAACAACAGAGAAGGTGGGAAATGAATATGAATAAAGCGGACTGCAGATCTGTCCCTCATTTTTCATGAGTTAATTTTAATGGATATAATTCTTAGGACGTTTTCATCGATTATTCCCCAAGGGTATCTTAGGCTTCGACTCTCAAGGCAGGCAGGCCTTTCTTTCTTCTTTTATTGGTACACATAAATATTTCTCCTTTCTTCTGAGACGGTATGTAATTTGTGTGTTTAATTTCTGGAAATATTATCTTGTGTTGAAAAATTATTGGGCGCTGCTATTAAATTCGAATTAATCATTTGTTGTATGTTTTCCTCCTCTGCATACCCTGCCTTATTTCTCTTTTGTTTATTTGTTAAATGTTTGATTAATTGTCGGCCAATGCACAGGCCCGCATCGGCATGGGCTTTCCTTTCAGTTTCAGTTGTCTTATATTTTGTTCGCTTAATTTGTAATTTTACACAGTAATTTCGATGGAATTGCCTCAAATTGACTTTTGATTGAATTGGATGAGCCCTGACAGCGCGGATAAACGAAGAGTTTAGGCGCTAATTCTTTGTGGCAGCTCAAGGGAGAATGGGTTTCTGGGTCAGACATTTGAGTGGTTGCCATTGTCATTGGACGGTCCCAGTCGATCCCAGTCGATCCCAGTCGATCCCAGTCGGTCCCGGCTCCAACCCACGTCCCTGAAGATGTTCATCAATTTGGTGTCATCGTGTCTTTGGGTTGTGGGAGCCAGTCAGTCAGCCAGTGGCAGTGGAAGAGAAACTCCAGTGAAGATGGTCTGTGGTCGGGACGGGGCTCTCACATGTAACTGAAACCCATGGAGAAACATGGAGAGCGGCCCGGCCCACGCTCATCAGGCAAGAGAAATGTGTACAAAGAAATGATACTGCTCCTTATACCCGACACATTGTGCAACAAATGATGGGGCATTTATCTCGAAATAGACTGGCCAGATATAGAATATCTATATTAACTCGCATCTCCATGCCCATGCCCATTCCCATTCCCCTTTCATTCAAAAGAAACAAAGATGCCATGGCTCGTCTCCACATGCAGCTGAGCTCGATGCAGGACCCTGATTCATCCGCCTCTGATAATAGTAATGATGATGATGACCAGCTGCTGGACCCCACCGACGATGAGGAGGAGAAAAGCAGCAACGAGGTCTTTATGCTGCTCACCGGGGAACAGGATCTCATCAAGTTCCTGCACTGGGCCATGAAGCTGCTGTATCCCTTCGAGCGACCCGAGGGCAATCGGAGCGATAGCCCAGCTGAACACTATCATCCGGGGATGTTCCTCTGGAAGAAGCTCAACCTGTCGGGACACCTGGAGCCGCCACTGATTGTGGACGAGCCGCAGTTCGTTCTTGTGCGGCGCGAGAAGCTCCTGGATGGCTATCACTTGGGCGGTGAGTGTCCGGGGCTTAGAATCTGTCATAATTCTCACTCACTCCCATTGGGATCTTTCAGATGAGACGACCAAGGAGGACGATCCCTTTATACCACCACGCGGAAGGAAGCACAACAACCCAGATTTGGATGCTCTATTCAATCGGTATGAGACCTTTGTGCCGAATCGCGGCAGACGCGACAAGGTCAAGGATCTGTTCAAGTACGACGATCTGTTCTTTCCGAATCGCGGCAAAAAGTATCGCAGCATTTTCAAGCTGGACGATCCCTTCTTTCCGAATCGCGGCAAAAAGCTGCAGCTCCGGGATCTTTACAAGATTGACGATCCATTCTTTCCGAATCGCGGCAAGCGGCACTTGACAGGATCCACCAAGACACCACCCCCCTCTGGTCTGTGGGGAAAACTGTTGCAGCAGCAGCAGCAGCAGGAGAGAAAATTGCCAGATGACAGCGACAACTGGCCGCAAAGAATGTCAACGCATAAAATTAATGGTTACGATCAATCAGTCAAGCCATCAATGTCACAAGTGGAGGATGCTGCTATTCTAGCATCCAGAGCCAGAGCCAGAGCTACTCCGACTCCGACTGCGACTGCGACTGCAGCTGAGGGCGCTCAATGGCGAGGTCTGGCCAGGGGCCTGCTCCAGCCTGCTAATAGATTACACTCGACAAGATCAATGTCAGCAAATTTACAACAGCCAGAGCTGGGGATGGAGATGGAACAATTGGTGCCACATTTGCCGCTGCAGCAGCAGAGCAGCGTCCACTTCATTGGCAATCCAATCATGCCCCGGCAGCAGGTGAAACCATCCTGGCTGGGATCGGGATCGGGATCGGCATCGGGATCACTGCACCGTTTCAGGCGATCTCTTCGGCCCGATAATGCCCCCGAGACACAATTAACACGTTCAACCAATGCTAATCCTCAGAAGATCGACTCTGGCTCTGACTCTGATGCGGAGTGGGACTGGGACACTGATGATGCCAATTGGAGCGACATTTAAATGCCAGCGATCGTTTTCTGGTTTCTGGTTTCTGGTTTTCGGTTTTAGGTTTTTAGTTTCGGTTTCCGAGCAGCTTCCTTGGGGGCGCATCCACTCGATTATGCCTGATTGTGGCTCGATGGGTCAGCAGGAACGGGCCGCAATATAGAACGAACTATAGCACACCGCACGAAATAAAGTAAATGCAATTGAAAAACGAAACAGAACGAAGGCCACTACGGGGAGGAGATCGCTTGCCTTGCCCTTGGGGCAGAGCCTTTCTAGAATTGTGCTGCGATGAAGGTCTCCATGCCCTTGGGAATGGGGTATGGGGTATGGGGTATGCGATGTGGTTGTTCCTACAAGTAATTCCTATTTTAATTGTATTCATTGGTTAATTTATCGCTAAATGCAATCAGCATTGTGCCCAAGCTGCAAGCTGCAAGGTCTAGAGTGTCTAGACTTGGACCCAACACAGCTGCCAATGTTGCAGACAGCCGGGCGTGGCACGCAGCTGATGCCACAACAGCGATATGTCCGCTCTCTGTAAGATATGCAGGCTGATCAAGAACAATATACAACCAACAATCAACAATCAGTGCAACAACCACGACGACTGCTGTGGCGACTGTGACTGGAACTGGAACTGCAAAGGTCAGGCCATGTAATCCCCAAAACGCACATCAATCACCCGACTCTTTGGCTTATTAGCCAGCATTGAACCTTAAATATCAGAGCACGGGAGTGGGAAATGGGGAATGGGTAAAAATAAACAGAAATACATAAATTTTTTAAGCCGAAGCCGAAGCCGCCGTTGCTGTTACAACAGCAACACTGAAATTTTCCACTTCAACTGATTTCTGACATTGACATTGACCAAAAATCGACATCAACGTCCAAATATTTGGTGAGCCACAAAGTCTACGGGCCCAGACTCTGGTCGAGACCCAGACCGAGACCCCTAGCAGCTCTTTGTTTTGTACAAATGACCATTGAAGGTCATGCCAGCCAAAGCCGCAGCCGCAGCCGAAGCCAAAGCAGGCAGCAACAAATTGGTTAAATAATACTCTCCTCCACTCCACTCCACTCCACTCCACTCCACTCCACTCCACAGCATCAGAGCATCAGCATCAGAAATGCTCGTACTGGAAAAAACACTGAAAAATGTTAAGCAGATGCGCGTCATCGTTTGGGGTTCAAGTTTTTGGATTTTGGTAGCTTGACGTTTGCGATCAGACCAAAATCTTATGAAGATCATTATAATTTCAATGGCACTCCACCGTCCACAGTCCACAGTCCACAGTCAGAGGCAGCCTCAGCTGTACCGAATGAGTGTGTATGCAGCATATGTACTATACTACAAGTACTCGTATACCAATGTTTGGTTAGAAGAATGAATGCAGCAGCAGCAGCAGCAGAGCACATATATAGAGAGTCCATACATAATACTATTCAACTCTCCTCCGCTGGGCATCGTGCCAATGACACTTGAAGTGGTCGGTCAGCCGGTTAAGAGGCTCACCTCACGTGCAGCTTTCATAGGGAGTACGGGTGGGTACCCTACCTTTTGAGTTGGGTAAGCTTAGAGCCCTAAGCAGCTGTGACAGCTTCAGAAGAAATCTCACAGAAGCATTAACCTGATCCAAAATGAATGCTTACATCACTTTGATGGTGGTATGGTAAAGCACTTCCGTCTCTTCATCATGGCATCGGATTGGGGGTAGGGGGCCCGGAGTTGATAACTCTCACTGGCCATAACCTTTCGCCAAAAAACTGTGCAAAAACTTATGTCAAAGCCGGACAAAAACTTACGGCACCACACGAACACCACACAGGCAGGTCTATTGAGCCAAATGTGTCAAGACTGAAGATTGTACAAATTAAATTTCATTGGGTTTGCGCTTTCAAAACTTCAACTTCAAGTCCAAGACCAAGACCAAGACCATGAGTGGGACTGGCTCTGGCGGATACTTTGTGTCACTTTTGGCCTGCCTGACATTTGGCCAACAGAAAAGAAAAAGAAAGTCCAGTCTGAGTCCCCCAATTGAGCTCCAGCATCAGAGCAGCAAATTGGCTCAATTTTTGTTGCAACGTTGGTTGTGGCAACTGATTTGCTTGTCGGGAAATATCAACGCATTGTCAGCGATCCCAATGCCGTTGACAACATGCAACATGCAATGGAGTAACGGGCTTGCAACATTGCAACTGTTGCAATTGTAACGCGATCAGCATGAGTAGCTGGCAGCCTTTGACAGCGGCTTAATTGCTGTCTGCAATTATGATTGTTGCCGGGATAGAAGCTTCGCTCCAGGAGCAGCAGCAGGAGCAGGAGCTTCACTTTCGTTTGATTTGTGGCCAAAAGTGCCAACCGCTTGTTTGAACTGCTTTCTGACTCCATTTGGCGTCTGAAGTTTCTAGTTAGCCGTCGTCGTCCCAGTCGTTGTCGTTGTCGTTGTTGATTTGGCCGTCTTTGTCTGGTGGGAGAGCAACTCCTGGTTGACAAAAATAGTAACGTGCAGGCAGGCGCTGCCTTTTATTGCCATTTGTTTTTTGCCATGGCTGTGCTGTGCTGTGCTGTGCTGTGTGTTGCCGTTTTGCCATTTGACGTTGACAAAAAAACGTCATTTGCAAATTGGGCAAAGACAACTTTCTCTAGGCAGCAGCTGCGCAGGCGCAGGCGCAATCTCGCAGTCGCAGTTGCAGTCCCAGTCCCAGGCGCAGTCGCAGCCGCAGTCGCACTCGCAAAGTGACAGTCATTGCATAAAACTATATAGATAAACCAAAGGCAAGTCGTCGCCCACATTCATTAACAGCATTCGCATAATTGGCTGCGGCAGATATTTCGTGGGTTCACTGAACCACAACAGGCAGCACCCAGCATCCCATCCGAAGACAGAAGACAATCCCTGGGCGCAGCCTGAGTCGAGTGGCTTATTGGGCCTTACGTCTCAATTTTCCATCGCCACTTTGTCAATATCTATAATTAAAATCGTTTGAGAACACACGCAAACCCCTGGATCGCTGGCTCGCTGCTGGCCTCTGCCTCTGCCGATTTATCAGATTTTTCGAATGGCAAAAAGGCTATACTTATGGATATATACATACATATGTATATATACTCGCATTCGACGTTGAAAGCTTGATTGATGCATTAAGCTTATACAGCCATAACCACTAGCCAAAACCCAAACCCAGCCGCGTCCCCCACCCACCGACTGGGGGCAGACGACGTTGACGAGAGCCAATTAATGGCTGCTTAAACGGGAAAAACTCTCTGGCAGTGGCAGTGTGGCCATGTAAAATTATGGAAAATCTGTGCAAACGCGACCGGGAGCAAGCGCTAATTGAGGCAGGAAGCGTTGCGAGGAAAAACGAGTTGCCATCGCCTGTCATATCGCATCTGGTCCGAAAAGCTGCTGGCCAGCACCAGCACCAGCACCAGGCTTTGGCCCACGAAATGGGTCAGCCAGTGATTACCCGACGTTGTCGTTGTCGCTGTCGCTGTCGCTCTGTCGCTGAAGCCGTCGCCGTCGCCGACGCCGCCTCCACGAACGCATTTCATAACTAGGCAAATTAAGCCTAAGGCCAACAACACAAGCGACAAGCGTCTTAGCCCCGTCTTAGCGGGTAACGGCAATTTCCAGCCCAAAAGCGCTGCACTATTTGTCATAATAAATGTGCACAAAGGAGGTGTACACGTACACCTCCTCCTTCTTTCCGAAGAAAGCAGAGAGACCGGAGACCGAAGACAGTGTGGGCAGCGCTGTGACACATTTTGTCATCATTAGGCACAGTTGCCGGCTAATAATTTCAATTTAGCCAAAAAATTAGTTGTATTGTAGGATAGGGCGCGGGAAAGGAGGGGAAAAATATGTAAAAAGAGCGTTAATAGCCGCATAGGCCTACAGCCCACGCCAAGAAAAAAGAAAAACCATCACCAAAGTCGAACCAAAGTGGAACCAAAACATTCAACGACTGCTGGGCGGGATTGGGGCTGGGCCATTGGATGGGTGTTGAGGTGATGACACTGATTATAAAATGCTGCATGCGCCATGGCTCAATGCTCCATGCCCCTCACTGGAATGGAAATGCCATATAAAAACTCCAAGTTAATCGCCTTGCTACACTGGTACATAAATGACTGGTACTGATACTCTGTTACGGGAGAAGTGTTCATAGAGCGCGGAAAATACAGAAAATATATATTAAATAATTATGAAAAAAATAAATATATAGCACAAAACGTTGCGGACATGATTAATAGCCATCTTTGGGTCATTCATAATAAGAATAATTGAAATTGGTATCAATCAGGTTGATTATTAGTACAGAAAGAACAGACGAACAAATCCAACAAGATAACGAAAATGTGCGCGTGAGCAAGTTGCACTTGTGTAAGTCTCAATCACAAGAGGCACAAGATGAACGAAGTCAACAACGACAATTGGAACGGAGACAAGCACATTCCATTCCGTTCATCCGAAAGTGCTGATGATTGTTGATCGAATTGTTCTGGCTGTTATTCCCACCTTCCCCGTACCCCTTTATAGGGATGTGGAACTAAACGGTTTCACAATGAAATTCACATGGAGCTGAACGAACCCATTGCAGAAATGTGTTATCAAAAGGGGGGAAGGCCCAAGGCCCAAGCGCTTTGGGCGCGACCCACACACGTTTTCTCGACCACCGACCGACCACAAGAACCATAAACGCCAACAAACAGCGCGCGTGCGTGCGTGCCGTGCTTCCGCCTGGATGATGGGCCCCAGCCCATGCCTCTGCCTCTGCCCTGGCGACAAATAAACAAAACCAAATAATACAGCAGCAGAGGCTCAAGGAAAATTCATGCGAAACAGTTATAAAAAAAGACAAAAAGAGGAAGAAAAGCGAAGAAAGAAAAGCCAAAGCTGAGGCCGTTGACGCTGACGATGTTGCCGTCATCGTTGATGTGTATGTGTAATATTGCGCTTTCCGGTACAGAAACATAAAATTTTATGTCTACGAAGCTGACGACAACTCTAACGACAGCCGCAACATCAACTGGAGAGAGGGGCAGCACAGAAAGTCGGGCGTGCAACACTTCGTATGCGTTACATATTACTGCCCCCTACCCCACCGACCACTGTCCCGACCGTCCCGAGTTAACACATTTTTCTGTCACGCAAAATAATCATTTGCAAAATCACGCCGTGCTGACAGGCAGTGGCAGGGGT